CAATCCCTAATTGTATTGGATACGAGTGCTGGAAACTGAAGCACCTTATCACTTATTTGTATAAAGCACCCGAGGTTGGGTATAGCCCAAACAGCCTTAGCAGCTTGCTTTGGCTCAACCACTGAAGGACACTCCCTGCTGCAGCACTGATCACTACCCACATTGATGAGGACTGAACCTGGGTGGATATTGATGGAAGCGACTGACAGCAGGTCATTCCAGTTGTGATTCTAACAGCTGTCAGGAAAAAGACTTTAACCCGATCTGTTTGGTCCCAGGGGTGAAAGGCCAGTGAATTTTAATTTCAAATAAACCCACTGTGCCACCCAGCTTTTTGTTTTTGTTGCCAGAGTGACATTGCGTTCTTCAGTGGACTATTGATCTGCTTCATGATCTACAACTGTGATTGGGTCAGGTTCATATCCACCTCCAACTTCCTGCCTTCATTTTTTTTCCCTACCTGCTGAGGCTAGAAAGAAACTGCTTCATTCACTTCATGTTTGGTGTTTGTTCTTACTTCACTCTGTCTCTGTGCATTGCATTGCTCTTTAATACCTCTCCCACTTTCCCAAACCCAGTTAGAATTATTATTTGTTTGTTGAAAGGAATTTTTATTTCAAATAAATGGGAGAAACCAACACTTGAGCTTCCACACAGTGGGGTCCAATTTTTCATTTTACATGATATGTGTCCCGGGGAGTCCAACCTCTGCTCCTTTGGGTGTTGTTATCATATGGACTTAAAGACTTGACCCAAACATGAACAGGTTAATCAGCAATAGTCTTCCCTCATTCATAGCAACAGCTTGCATTGGTTTTGTGATCTTCATATATGATAACGTCTCAGAGCACTTTAGCAAGGCCATGGCTGAGCGTGTGTATGGTTGCTAAAAGAAACCCCATGAGAGAGCTGTTAGGGCATGATGGGGATGAATCTGTTCACTGAACCCTAAACAAATCATAAGCAAGCCGATTCTCTTCTGAGAAGAAATCCTTTCAAATCTTAAAGCTTGCTCAAGAAGTCTTCCAGGAATTGTGTGCCTCGTTCATCACTTTGTAGTTGATCTACTGTTGATGTATTTTGCATAAACAAGGATTGTGAAGCAGCCTGGGCTGTGGGCGTTCTGTTTTATGTAGCTTTTGATGAACAGAATGCTATATGTACAAATCAGCCCCATCTGCTGACACTTGCTGAAAATAATTGGAAATGGATTGAACTGTCTCTTAAATGTTTCCTTGCTGAAATTATGCCTTTTAATGTGTGTGGGTAGCTAGTCGAGAGTGTGTTCTGGAAAGCTTTTTTGATGGATGCAGTCAACGCCCAGAACTGTGTTTCCCTCCCCTCACCCCGTGCTTTTCAGTCATTAAAAGGTTGGTTTCTACAAACATTTTACAGGACCGAACAAGCTTCTTACTATGGTGGTTCTTGATCTTCTATTGTAATGTATCAGCAGTTATTTGACCTTATGAACAGAGAAAGGAAGGGCCTACAGCTTCTAGTCGCTGCTCATAGCTCATATAACGTTGATGCATTTTCATTGGAACAGAGAAGATTGAAGGGAGAACTGATAATCATAATTGTGAGGAATTTTAAGAGTAGATAGAGAGATTTTTTTTCTCATTCTTGGTCTTTGCTTCAATGTTAGGGTGAAGTAATAAAGTAATTTGTAAACCGTCTCTTCCTCTAACCCTGCTACTGAAATTAATTGAACTTACTCAAAAGCATTGCTGCAATCATATCTGTACACTGAAACTCAATAGCCACATGATTATTTGCTCTCCTTAGTCTTTACACTGTAATGTGATAGCCAGATCTATCATGTGGTGAGCGGAAAGGGCAAACTAGGATAATGGATTCTGTTGATAATCAAGCAGAATAGATCTCAATCCCCTTCACAGGATAACCTATTGCTCATAAATATTTCCTGCCCTTTCTTTCTCTTCCCCATTCCCCAGTCCCCAAACACAAAAAGTACATTTTAAGGGCATGCTTTTCGCATTGCACAGCTTTAATGGTTGGAAGAGCATTAACCTCTGTGCAAGATGCCTGGACTGTTATTGGCATTTTCATTCTGAGATTGGGATCTCAGTGGTGTGAGTACCCCTGGGAGATCTATATCCGGTCAATCTTAGTTTAAAATACAACTCAATGACATTACACAAGCATTTCATCTCCAAGTCAAAGTTCAGACTAAGCAGGAATACTTGGGGAGGAGGGTGACTAGTCCTTTTCCTTCTCCAATAGTGATCCTTGCATTTGATATAGGACCTTAATCATCAACTTGCATTTATATAGCGTTCTTCACACCAGACGGTGTCTCGAAGCGCTTAACGTCTCAAAGCACTTCAGAGTTTTTTTGTGTAAACTGTAGCTGGCTATATTTGTATTTATAGGCAAATGCAGCAGCCAATTTGCGTACAGCAATGTCTCACAAATATCCAGGAAGTGAGTGACCATTTTTTTTTATTCTGAAGGATTGCTGGCTAGAAACTCCCTTCTCTCTTCGAAGAGTGTCATAACATCTTTAATTTTGAACAGGCAGATGTTCTTATGGCTTTAACCACTTGAATAGAGAGGTGTTTAATGACCCATCCGAAGGACAGCACCTTCAACAATGCAGCACCTTGTGATCTTGTAATCTGGTTAAGTGTCACCCAGATCATATTGTTCCTAGGTTTGATCCTGAGTTGGTCTGTGCTGACTTTGCTGATCTCTGCTGTTACTGTTTTCAGTGGCCATAGCGAGGGGGAGAATTGACCAGGGATCTTGTTCCTTATGGACAATAGTAATAGCTTCTTTTCTAAAATGTGAGTAGCTGCAGCAGGATCAGGCTTGATTATGATTTGGATTTCTGTTCTCTCTCTCCTACCCCTCCATTGATGTGTAAGGCACTATGTAAATTGTTTTGTATTTCCCTGTGACGGTGGATCTTCTTTTATTAAATGAAATTCAACGTAGGAATGTAATTTTAAGACTGTCGACATGGTTCTGAGTTCCAATATTCTGTTCTATAGAAAAGTCTGTATTGTCTTCCCTGTTCATAACATAACATATAGGAGCAGGAGTAGGCCATTCGGCCCTTCGAGCCTGCCCCGCCATTTAATCATGGCTGATCTTCTAATCTAACTCCAGCTAATAGCCTGACCCTGCCTTATCCCCATATCCCTTAATCCCTTTTGCAATAAGAAATATATCTATCTCAGTCTTGAATATGTTCAAGGACTGAGTGTCAACAGCCCTTTGGGGTAGTGAGTTCCATACATTCACCACCCTTTGAGTGAAGAAGTTCTTCCTCAACTCAGTGCGAAAGGGCTGGCCTCTGATTTTAAGGTTGTGACCCCTGGTTTTAGTTTCTCCAACCAGGGGAAACAATCTCCCACTATCTACTCTATCATGCCCTTTGATGATCTTATAGGTTTCTATAAGATCCCCTCTAATTCTTCTATATTCTAGAGAATATAGGCCCAAATTGGTCAGCCTATCCTCGTAACTCATCCCCTTCATCCCTGGTACAAACCTAGTAAATCTACACTGCACCCCCTCCAAGGCAAGTACATCCTTCCTTAAATGAGGAGACCAAAACTGCACACAGTATTCCAGGTGTGGTCTCACCAGGGCCCTATACAGTTGCAGCAAGACTTCCCTACTCTTATACTCTAATCCTTTCATAATGAATGCTAACATACCGTTCGCCTTCCTAATTGCTGCTGCCCCTGCAGACTAACTTTCTGTGATTGGTGTACAAGGACACCCAAGTCCCTCTGGACACTAACACATTCCAATCTCTCCCCTTCTAAAAAAAATAACCCGCTCTACTGTTTTTGCTACCTAGGTACATGACTTCGCACGTCCCTACATTATACGTCATCTACCACCTAACTGCCCAATCACCTAACCTATCTATGTCTCGCTGCATTTTTTTAATGTCGTCCTCTGTGTTGACACTTCCTCCTAGCTTTGTGTCATCCGCGAATTTAGATATATTAGCTTCGATGTCCTCATCTAGATCGTTGATGTAGATGGTAAATAGCTGAGGCCCAAGGACTGATCCTTGTGGCACTCCACTGGTCACATCCCGCCAATCTGAAAAGGACCCGTTTATCCCTACTCTTTGTTTCCTACCCATTAACCATTCCCCAATCCATGTTAATATGCTCCCCCCAATTCCATGGGCCCTTATCTTTTGGACTAACCTTTTATGCGGCACCTTATCAAATGCCTTCTGGAAGTCCAAATAGACCACATCTACTGATTTACTCTTATCTAGTTTACTCGAAATATCTTCAAAAAATTCTATGAGATTTGTCAAACATGACTTCCCTTTTGTAAAGCCATGTTGACTTGGCTTAATTATATTGTGCTCCCCTAAATACCACACTACCACATCCTTAATCAATGATTCTAAAATTTTTCCTATCACTGATGTGAGACTAACTTATATAAGGTTTGGTATGGAGGTGGGGGATGGGCTCCTCGTGACTTAAGATTGTTAAATGTTATGTCTACACTGTTGATCATACCAGCCGCACAATTGCTCTCCTTCCTGCTTTTAAGATAGAGGAAAAAATCTTCAATTCGTTTTTAAAAACTGCAAGTATTCTCATGGGTGACCCTAAGGAATGATTTGCAATACCCAGCTTTTTAAAAAATGTAATGAGATTTGTAGCTGAATTTTCTCTTCTCAACACCATGGCTACCTTAGGAGTTATTAGTAATCTGATCTTCTTTAAGCATCTTTGGAACTAAGTATATCTATGGCCTTTGATGCTCCATCAAAAGACATGCAATACTACAATGGTACAAATCCCTTTGTAAGAAGTTGCAGTGGGAAATGGCACTGGGAATTTAACAGGTATTTATTTGCAAGAACCAGATGTGCCTGATGCATGAGAATTTTCAGTATTCACTGATTCAGTATTGTCTAAGATTATTATGTATGTTTTGTCCCCAGTGATTGCTGGTATTAGCTTTCTCATAACTTTTTTTTCTTGCATTCACAGGTAGAATGGATTCAGCAGCAGGTGGTAAAAAGAAGGATCAAGAGAGATTTTAAGCCTGGTGCTGCTCAATATCCTTACTTCAATGATCCCAAATGGCCAAGCATGTGGTATATTGTAAGTAGATGACACTACATTAGAATTCTCCAAGATTCCTGGTTTGGTTTTAATTCTTCCCTCTTTATTTCATCTTCACCTTTAATAAGCCCCATAATACGCAGAATAATGTATCTATCTAAAGAGCCAATATAATCATCAAAATGGTCCACTATTCTCCAGGATTGATTTCGAGATCCTGTGGTAATGAATATATAATCTTAAAATAACTTGCAGGAAATTGGCTTCAAAATGAATTTCCGAAGTGCTACTTCAATAGAGTAAATCTAGAACCTAGTAGAATTTCTCCACATTTCACACCCTGACTACATAAGTAAGTGACCCATAGACTAATGGTTACCATAGTTCTACTAGTAATTCTCAAACAGGTCTCACTATCACCTGTGCTGCAATAAATAACTATTTTGACCGGTTAGTAGAAATTCCACTGCTCAAATATCCTATTTTTCCCCTGGACAAAGGTGCATGAATAACCAAACGAGAAATCTGTTGAGCCATTTTTCTACTTGAATGGTGGGTGTTGTACTCGAGAGAACAGGTTTTGTGTTTCTAGCTCAGAATTGTTTTGGGCCCAGTGTGGTCATCTACTTGATTTGCAAAGGGCTACAGAAGTTCTACAGTAGAAACTTACTCAGTTTTACATTTCATCTCAAAGCTTTCATTATTTCATTCTTGGATCTTGATCCTTTGCTCTTTGTTGAATTAAACGTCTCATCTCCTTTGGTGAAAAATCCTGCCGACTGAAATGCAAACCTATCTTTGTCTACACAATGCTGATGGATTTACCTTGCCTTGGATTTTAAGGCTTTGTGCTTTCTTTACTCTATGCATCTCCATTTACTGTCTTGTGAAGATATTTTCTTTACACACGCATGCTAGTTAATTACAGCTCATTATCTGGGAAGGCTCTTTTGGTTAGAATCTTAGGCTTGTTGTGATGTGTCCATTTCTGTCTCTCACTCTTGGTTGCTTATTCTTTCTGTTGATGGGTTCCCCTCTCTTTTGTTTGGTTTGTCAGTTTCATGCCTTTCCCTACCATTGGCACTTTCCAATCACTGCATCCCTGATGTTTTTCCTCCCTGTTCCCTTCCATGTTTAAAATATTGTATATTGATGTACTAGCCTGTTATCACATTTCTTCCTGCTCCAATTTATCTGATCCATGAAGACTCTTCCTACCCCCTCATCACAAACCTTAAAATCTGTTTGACATCTCCTAACTACTTTCATCTCATTGTCTGTTAATTTTATCAACCTTGATCGCCTCCTGCACAATTGGCCTTGGACCTTTTCCTGGGTTTCTCAATTATATTATAAAAAGAGATCAACCTCCCTGTCAGGACCAGTAGGAAAATCGAGTGGTCAGTTCAACCCTTTCTTGCTACATTAACCCAAAAAGCACACAATCGGTTTGCTGCAATTTCTAAACTCTTTGTTGTTTTAGTGTCAGTTGAGTATCTGACACGTGTAGAAACCAACTACCATGCTTACAGCCACCTCCCAACACCCCACCCTCAGCTCGGAGTCGGGCTCTGCCACTGTTAAGCGTTCTGAGACACTATCCTGCATGGAGGGCGCTATATAAGTGAAAGTTGTTGTTTCGAATTGAGAGGAGACCTCAGTGCTGCAATGTAGTTAGGTTCTAATGACTGACTTGTATCTTTTCTCACAACTATTTTTCCCATTCCAGCACTGCAACGACGACACTCATCACTGCCAGTCCGACATGAATATAGTAGGAGCTTGGCGCAGAGGCTACACTGGTCGAAATGTTGTGGTAACCATTCTGGATGATGGGATTGAGAGGAATCACCCTGACTTGCAGCAGAATTATGTACGTTTGTGCTTTTTATTTATAAGTATATCTAAGACCCTTCATTATAGTGCAGCCTCGTTTATAAGGCAGCCAACATTTCGTGATATCAAAGAATTAAGTCTCCTATTAATGTGAATAATACTGGTAGTTTAGGTTGTGCTTTGTGAGAATAGCAGTACCTCATGTGAGACCTGACAGACATCATTTCCCTGTAAACGAACAGGGGTCCATAAGGATGTCACAAATCCAGAAGCATTTGGTGGCTATTTAATGACTTCATTTATAACATGGGTTAAATATAAATTTCTGGATTACGAGAAATCACATTGTGGCTGGGTTTGCCTCATGCGGGTATGACTTTTTTCCATACACATCCTATATAAATGTATAATGATAATCCTTGCATTTGCTAAAGTGCCTTAACACATTGAAGCACTTCACAGTAATTACAGTTCAGAGTAGTGACTACATATTTGTACATGGAAGTCCATTTGCACATAACGAATGACCAATGTTATTGGGGGAGGGGGATTGGTCAGGACACTGGGAGAAATTCCTTTCTTCGAATAGGGTCAGGTTATTTAACAACCACCTGAAAAGGCAGGCATGACGATAGTTTAATGTTTCATCTGAAGGATGGCACCTCCAACAATGCAGTGCTAAATATTAGCCAAAGCAGGGAAGCCTTGGACTGAGTTGCGTGAAGAAATAGATCACAGCGGCTTTGAGCTATTCTCTGAATGTTCCACACTCTATTGTGTGGATGTTCTTTGTCTTGAAGCCACCTGCCATTACATGCAATTAGCCAGGCGTTCAATAAGAGATCATGTCTCCGGACGATTCTCTGCACTGCGTTTACGCTGTTTTTATAGGGGAGGAGGGAAGAAGAGACTTTCTAAAATTCCATTCTACTGCTTGCTCATATAATCCTTCTGATGCAATTACACTGCTTGCTGACATCGTATGCTTTACACATGCATGTAGTGTTACTGCGCTGTGACTGCCCACACACCCTGTTTCACCCCATCCCATCTCCGTAACTGTGGCAACCATTGGAAATGCATCACTTGAGTGTCGGAGCTTCCACTTTAGCATTTCCCGGCAGAGGAAATGTTAGGAAAATTTCCTTACTGCACACCTCTGTTTACCTAGCGGTAAGTAGAAACCCGGTTGTTAGTCGATTGGCGGATCGCTTTTCCGGGGATAATAATCCCTTCCGTTTTTTTAAAAAAAGGAATAATTTAGTCACTCAATCCATGACTGTTTTTGGGACACTGCTGTGCACAATTGGCTGCTGCATTTTGCTCACAAAATATACAGTCAATTCACTTTACAGTATATTCTGTGAAGCCCTTTGAGACATCTCAAAGACATGATAAAGACATGATCAAATGCAAGGATTATTATTATCTTTGCCTCATGATCGATGAGATGAAACTCATCTTGAGTCTTCTTTTCTCAGTGGTCAGCACCCCCTCTTTTGACAGATTGTATTTCTTACAACAAATTTTAAGGCTTTAAGATTATTTTTGATCCAGTAACAAAAGGAAAGCAATTGGAAGCAGTGTTAGCAGAAGTGGTTGGACCGGCCCTTTAGTGGTATCTGTGCATATGAAATACCAGATGGCCTCATCTATAATGTTTATTTTTGGTCCATACATTATTAACTGTCAGCCCCCCATAAAATGGTCCTGCTCCTGATTGTCGGATTGCCACTAATGTTAATTAAACTTCTGTCGTACTGGCTAGCTTTCTGCACGTGTGAACAGTACACAAGAAACTGTGTTGCCAGACTGTTCTCCAGCTCCAGAGAGTGGGAACAGTTGAACAGCCAGTTTCTGAGCACTGTCTGTTTGCGCAGAAAGGCAGACAGTCTACCACGCCAGAAGTGTACAGTGTGCCGGTCTACAGAACACCTACGATATAAGTGAATATGGGCTCCAGTGAAGCATCTCGGATCTATATCGGCCAAGGCATTTCTCCCCCCAAATTTCTACAGGCACTAATGTGTGCAAAGTTTTTTTTGGAGTGGGAAAAAGATTTCGCAAGGTACCATTCATTATTGCATGCTTCAAGTTCAATCATTTGCTTATGGAAAACATTTTAAGAATGTATGAATTGGGCAGTGGCTTTATTTATTGATGTGGTGGTGTGACTTTTCTCCTCTTCCTGCAGGATCAAATGGCCAGCTTTGATGTCAATGGCAATGACTGGGATCCCATGCCGCGATACGACGCCAGCAATGAGAACAAGTAAGGGAAAAGCTGGCTTCTTTCTGGGGGTTGGGAGTGAAGAGAGGAGCTGGTTTTATCATCATTGCTCATTGAGCTGGATTTGGCCTTGATGCTGAATTTCTTGGTATTTTGTTCGTAGCGTGTCTCTGTTACATGGAATTCGGAAAGTAGAACCGATTGTACAAGCTGTCTAATAACTGAACTCTATCCCAAATGTATTTTAAAATCGTCTTAGCACAAATTGAAGACCTCCAGTGCCCTGACCATTACTTTCTCCTCTCTGCTCTCCCTCTCTCCCATTCCTACCCCACCCAAACCTCCAAATCTGTTCAGTCGTTCTATATTCACTTGCTGCTCAGAAGACTTTTGAAATAAATTTGCATATTTTCTTTTACGTAAAACCACTTCCAGCACTGCAAAGTGCCACAAATGGATTTCCACTGCAACATCAAGAATTAAAAACAGCTCTTAATAATAAATGCCCTAGTGAAGGTGCGATGGAGAATGGGTATGCGTCTCCAGTAGCTTCTCAAGCGAATTTGTATTCCACTCTAGCATCAACAACAATTTACATTTATATAGCACTTTTCACATAAGGAGGACCTAATGCATCACACAGCTGACTGGACACCTGAGCTTTGTGTGTGTGTGTGTTGGGGGAGAGATCTGGGGATGCATTCTAAGTGAATGAGGAAATATTGTTGCCACAGGTTGGATAGCTCCTATTATTTCCTCCCTCCAGAGGTAGCAAGATGGATACCAAACGCTCAACTTGCCTCATTGTCCAACCCTTGTGGGTTTAACTTCGGTTTCTAGTGTAATGAGATGGGCCAGAGAAGCCTATTTCAAAGCTATTCAGGGACCATATATGGATCTGAAGATGGAATAATAATTTGTTCTTAGATTGATATTAATGATTCACATCCCTTTTTGAGGAACTCTTTACATGCCCTTGCATAAATGTCTGTGTGTATTAATTAATTTAATAGGAAACCATAGTTTACCAAAATAGTTGGATAATTTTGAAAATGAGGTGTTGTCTTAAATTTGCACTTTAGAGCATTGCCTATTATTTTGACCTAAGGAATATTAAACTTTATGTGAAAGCGCTGTAAAATGTATATTGTATACTGAACGTTTTTGGCTGCATATTATAGACAGATGCATGGATTGAACAATTTTATTTAATTTTCTTTGATCTGCCATCCACAATTTTTTTTAAGTTCAGCAAAGCTTTGAGCTGTGCTCAGAATTATCTGGAAACATTTTCACAGCAAAGAACAAAACCTTGGACATTATTTGCTGTAATTGTGGAAAATATGAGCTGTTTGAGGTGAAGTGCTGTAATGATCTTTTTGCTGTTGAAGTTTCGTCATGCGGATCTTGATGTTCATTACACCAGCTGAAGTAATGACCTCCATATTGGGGAAAATTAATAATTTTTGGGTTGAGGATTTATTTTTTTAAATGGACCTGATTTTCCCTCCCTCAGAGTAGGACAGTAGAAGTGTGCTGACAACACAGTGTAATCAGCTGAGAGAAGTGACGGGAGATGTCTTTGCTTTGTCTTCTCTCTCTCTCTCTCTTTCTCTTCCCCCCCCCCCCCCCGCCCACCATAGGCATTATTGGATACATATTGTGGAATCCTGTAGCTCAGTGGTTAGAGCACTCGCTTTGCAAGCGAGAGACCTGAGTTCAATTCCAGACAGGGCGAAACCTTGGGCAAGTTTCCTTACTCCACACGCCTAATAATAATAATCCCTTCAAAAAACAAAACAATAATAAATTGGTCATTTTCAATCTACGACTGTTTGTGGGACATTGCTGTGCGCAATTGGCTGCCGCGTTCGCCCACAAATGTACAGTCAATTCACTTTACAGTGTGTTCTGTGAAGCGCTTTGGGACGTCCTCCCGACGTGAAAAGCGCTATATCAAATGCAAGGATTATTATTATTATATTATTATTATTACATATTGTGAGGTATCACTGGTGCAAATCTGCCGCTCCAATCCAAGAGTCAATGATACAACTGTAAATTATATTGCAAAATGTTTTTCCTATGTCTGCAGTGTTAAAAAAGGTAAATTATTTATTAAACCTGCTAGGAGAAGTTTAAACACGTCTGCATATCTTCCGGTAAACGTATCCCAGACTTCACCACCTTCTCTTAACTATGTTGCCTACACAATATATGTAGTCAATTCACTTTACAGTATATCCTATCAAACGCTTTGAGATGTCTCGAAGACATGATAAGGCACTATATCAAATGCAAGGATTATTATTTATTATAAGTCATGACAATGGTATTCTTTCATCCGAGCTGAAATGAATATTGTACTTTTTCCTCAACTATTTAATTTCTCCTTCCCGGAAGGCATTGGTACAAGGGTAATTCCATGGTAACTGTAAATCTGCTTCAAGCTGAACTATCCCTGCAACACACCAAGCTGTTGGATCTGTTAATAAGTTCACCCATTTAAACAGTTGGGGTATTTTGTGGCGTCTCAGCCACAAGGCCTTTGGTACCTAGGGCAATAATTTAAAAACAGTGTTTTGGTTTCCTGGCATGAGAAGATCAATACTGGCCAACAATGTGCGTGTGTGTGGGAGGGGGGGGTGGGGGGAGCTGAAAGTTCACTCTGCTGGTGGCCAGAAAAGTGTTTAATCACCACTTGCTGCAATAAAGTTCTCACCGGTTGGAATCACTTTATCACTTACTAGGCCCCCCACCTGCATGGTTAAGTCAGACTTGTATCATAGGTTCATGCCCAGTATTTCCTTTCTTTATCTGTGTTAGAACTTGGGATCTGTGTCAAGCGCTGGGTTATAGTGAGATTAATCAACAGGATTCACACTCCTGCTCACTACAGCTGGAAGTGTGTGTGAAGCTAGGGTGAGGAATGGATCAGTTGATGTCTGTTTTCCCTCCCTCCCTTCCTTTGCGGTTCAATGGCCACAAGGCGCTCTTTATCAAATAAATTGCCAATGAATAATGGCTCATGGATCCGTATCACAGTTAAGAAAAAAATAATCCAGGAAGGGGCGTATAGGAGAAGCGAATAGGAAAGAACGGGGCTTGTATGACGTATAAACGTCAGCATGGATGCGTAGGTCTGTTTTCGTGTCTGTGTAATTTATGCATTTCTATGTAATTTATGTGTTTCTATGTAACAATATGGGGGAGAGCAGTAAAGTCTGAACACTGTACGGCTAACGTAGACTACTTAGATGTGGTTTTCTAACTCCTAGGGAGTTATTGAGACTTTGGATGTTTGGTCATTGTGTCTGGGAAGCATGCTATCATTACAGTCATAGTTGTTGCATGATGGTTGATTTCTGTGCCAGGGGGGAGTCTTGCCAAATATTCAATGTGGTCTCCGACCTCTGTGTCCAAACCAATCCAAACACAATCTTGAGCTGGAGCTCTCTCTCTTTTGTGTACCCAGGGGAAGGTGGCTTTCAGCTGTGGATGTGGTTCTGAAAAACATCCCACTGTACTTAAAATTAGGCCAGTGCCATAAAGAGCTTTAGTTATTACAGAGAATGAATTTGGAGAAATAGGTGGCAAATGCTGACTTGCATGCTAATGTTTCTTTGGAGCAAATGGTTAGATTATGAAGGAATTATTTGGGCTGATGTATCTTAAGGGTTATAATTCTTTACTGCCAAAACTCAGATCTTCTGGGCACTGTGAATTCATTGTGCAGTTACTTTATTGCTTTTTTTACCTTTATTAACAGTAATATTATTAATAATATTCCTTGCAATTGAACTAATGCCTTTCATTATCAGGAGGATATCTTGAAGCACTTTACAGGATTTTACTGTAAAGTGCAGTGACTTTATTTGTTGGCAAATGAGGTAGCCAGTTTTGCACACAGCAGTGTCCCACAAATGCCCGTGAGGCGAATGAGCAGCTTTACTTGGGGGATTGCTGGCCGGGACAATGGGAGAAACTCCCTTCTCTTTTCAAATGTACCATGGAGTTTAATTGGCAGACAAGACCTCAGCTTAATGTCTTGTGAGAAGGACGGCACCAGCGACAGTCCAGTGCTCTCCCAACAGTGGGAGCTTGACTGCGTGAATTCAAAGTCACAATGCGGAGCTTGAAGTTATAATTTTCTGACTAGGGGGCAAGAATGTTTCCAGCTGAGCCAGGCTGAAAGCTTTATCTCCTGAAAATTGTGTAAATAAACCTTTTAGGGGCCTGCCCTGGTGGTTGACAATGGAGATGGCTGGAACTTTGAGTCAACATTCAAATACAAAAGTAAAGATTTAAATAGCTCTAAGCATTGCAATACTTTTTCATCTCTATACCTTTTGCTGTGATGTAGTTGCTGAAACAAAAATATTATGTGCTGAATTGACATAATATTGCAGCAGGCCTTTTGGTCCATCAAGCCTAGAGGTTTTTGTCACATGAGCCCCTTAGTATAACCCCACTCTCCTGCTCGCTGCCTATACTCATTATTTGGTCTCTCATGCTGAGTGTTTTTACAAGTAATCATTGGATCTGTAGGAAGCCCAGGTTACATTAGTCATCAGTCATTTTTATCTCCAGGGCAATTGTAGACATTCACTCTGCGAACGTGATTACATTTCATTACATTTCCTCTACAGCATTTCTTGACTCGAGAGGGGAAGCAGGCGAACTTGCATTGAATCTTGACTGACTGTTAATCATGGGCCTGGGGGGAGGGGAGTGGTTCGTAGAAAGGTCACTAATGAGTCAAACGGGAATTCGGACTGATTTTTCTCCTCCATTGTTTTTCTCCCCCTACCCTGGGGCACTGAGGCAGTTTGTGCTGTTCCTAAAGTGGAATCTGGGACATTCTTGGCCTTTATAGCTTAACTGCAAAATGGATAAACCTGCTGAACCATTAAGTTAGCTCTATAAAGTTATATAACAAATGCTGACTGGCTTCTCAGAGTCAGTGATGTATAGATAGGCCAGTTTGTCTTTCAGTGCATGGATAGTATCTTTTATATAAATTGTATACATAAAAAAAGTTG